ATTCGCTTTTACTAAAAGCACATCGTGAGAGTAGGATAGAAACAGTCCTCCTCTCTCACAATCTTGCGAACGCTGCTGAATAGGATAAGGAACGATTCGCGAAGCTGAATAAGCAATTAGCCCATTGGCTGGTCACATTAGTAAAAACACTAGTGAACGGGCTAATGTTGGCCTTTTCTTTGATTACGAAGAGGACTAGACATACACTCCACGACCGTAAGCGAAACCGTAACGAACTACGTGAAAATAAAAATGTTTAACTTTTTGGTAATAATAAAAATGTAGTAGTAATAAAGAAATTAAGGGTGTTGTCTAGTCGGGCACTTTGAAAAAGTCGATTTTTTTTACATTTTTCGAATATATATGTATGTAAGAATATTGTGTTTAATTTTTATAAAGATCGGAGCAGTATAAGTGTATTTTTTTCAACCGAAACGACCCTACCCGACCGCTCGTATTCCACGCGTGTTCAAGAAGCAAATCGCCACAGCTTGAATACTTCCAAAGAGTCTAGAACAGCGAGAAAAAAGGCTAGATTGGAAGAAAATCAAGATTTCGATCAATCAGAAGGTACTTCATACGGTGCAGGCATTGCAGATTAAATTTTGGTAAGATATTTTTTATATTTTTTGTTTAAAAAAACTTTAAAAATGCGTTTTTCTCAAAACAACGTTTTTTCGGACCTGCAACACGACTTCTCCAGAATCAGTGGACTGATCCTTTTGAAATTTAGACCACATATTCTATACATAATTATCCACAAAGTGGACCACTTACAAGTTATAATTTTGATTTTTACTATTTTTTTTTTCCAAAAAATGCCAAAAAAAAAGCCGTTTTTTTCAACTTTTCACATTTTATTAAGTAAAATCCACAAAATTAGCCCAAACTTAATAATTATGGTCCATTCTGTAGCTATTATCATACCAAATCTGAAACACTTTGATTTTTTTGTTTCAGATAAGCCGTTGCTGAAAAATCATGTTGCGACTAAGCTGTCTTGAAATTACCGCTCAATATTCAACTACGTATTTCGTACAATAAACTTGAAAAAAATGAATAAAAAAAAATTTTTTTTTGGAATTTAAGATCTAATTTATTATACCTATGTATTTTTATATCCATATCTTTCATAATCTACTCAAAAAAAAATTCCAAAAAATAGCAATTTTTTTACCCCGCCGACTACGCAACACCCTTAATATCAACAAATTTAGTGAAATTACAATTCGAACCGAAATATTCCGCCAATCCCTCTCGACTTGTGAAGTGTGAATGGCTGTAAGCGGTGCTTCAGGATATTCCACTATTCTCGTCGACGCCGGACTGCAGTTCGACAAATCGTAGGAGAATCTACAAGTCAAAGGGAGCAAGGGATAACCCGCCACGACAGGTTTTTCCTTTCGATCATTCAGCCTAACTCCACTCGCTCTAGATTGATTTTCTTAGTTAATTGCGGTAGTATTTGAGATTAGAAAAGGAAAGTAAATATTTCGTAAATGTCGGACGTAACAATTAACCAATGTCACTAAAGCAAACTTGAAATGTCATTTTAGACATAAATTTTCACGTTTTACCGGATTCCAGAGTAAAGTCTGACAGATATTATAAATAATAATACACAAGCGATAGAATTAGTAACAACAATTCGATTATTAAATAAAGAAAATTATAAAGTACTGATAATAATAATAATCGAATAATAAAGCAATCGTTATATTTACTAGTACTACCAATTGAAACAGCGATACCTAAAAAAAAGGAAGAAAAGTACGAATAACTAGAGGTGTATATTGCGAATGATATATTTACACTTTAAATAAAAAAGTTGATTGAGAGAAATAGGAATATACCGTTTTTCTTCAGATTTTCATGGGAATTCTGCTACTAGATATGGTGGTTTGAACGACAGTTAGCCTTACGATTTAAAGAAAAATAGTTAGTCGTAAAAGTAGAACTGTATGTTAGATTTGATTTGATTTATTTGTTGTTTCGAAGACAGCTTGGCTAGCACTTAGTGCTGACGGAATACGAGGTGTGATCAAAAAGTAAGATGACTTTTCAAATTTCACGGGCAACGTACTTTCGATTATCGATTTTGTTTCGTTATGTTGGTACACTCTTCCCGAACATCTCTACCAAGTTTCAAGTGTACAGCATTTTTTGTTTGGTTGTGAGAGGCGTAAAGGTTATAAGTGTTTTGCGTGCTCGGCGATTTCTTGCTATCGGAAAATATGGATCAAAGGATTTGCATCAAATTTTGTGTAAAAAATAAAATAAAGTGCTCCGAAACACTTGAAATGTTGACGGTGGCATACGGTGAAACTGTTCTGAGTAAAAAAAATATTTACAAGTGATACAAACTCTTCCAAGATGGCCGGGAAGATGCCAATGACGAGCCTCGCTCTGGACGGCCAAGCACGTCAACAACTGATGAAAACGTTCAAGCAGTGAAGAAAATTGTTCTGGAAAATCGTCGAATCATTATCAGAGAAGTTGCTGAGGATGTTGGTATATCGCTTGGCTCGTGCCATGAAATTTTTTCTAACGTTTTGGGCATGAGACGTGTGTCAGCGAAGTTTGTTCCGAAATTGCTAAATTTTGACCAAAAGAACCGTCGCATGAGCATCGCTCAAGAACTGTTGAATGACGTCAACGACGACCCAGATTTACTCAAAAGGGTCATAACTGGTGACGAATCATGGGTATATGGTTATGATATCGAAACCAAAGTCCAATCGTCCCAATGGAAGAGCTCAGATGAGCAAAGACCGAAAAAAGCACGCCAAGTTCGATCAAATGTCAAAGTTTCGCTCACTGTTTTCTTCGATTACCATGGCGTGGTGCATCAGGAGTTCTTACCATATGGACGTATGGTCAATAAACAGTATTATCTTGAAGTTATGCGCTGTTTGCGAGAAGCAATACGAAGAAAACTCCAAGAATTGTGGAAAAACAATTCATGGCTTTTGCATCACGATAATGCCCCTGCTCACTTATCTTTGCTTGTGAGAGATTTTTTGGCCAAAAACAACACCACAATCATGCCTCAGCCACCATATTCACCGGATTTGGCCCCATGTGACTTTTTCTTGTTCCCAAAACTAAAGAGACCTATGAAAGGACGGAGATTTGCAACGATTGAAGAGATAAAGACTACATCGCTGGAAGAGCTCAAGGCTATACCGAAAAGTGCTTATGAGAAGTGCTTTGAGGATTGGAAAAACCGTTGGCATAAGTGTTTTGTATCTGAGGGGGGTTACTTTGAAGGGGACAACATAAATATTGATAAATAAATAAATATTTTTTCTTAAAAATACAAAGTCACCTTACTTTTTGAACACACCTCTTATATACTTGGAAAATAATCACTTATGTGAAGTAAAATGTTCAATTGATAAAAAAGTGCGGACTTATTTACTTAGATATTATTTTTAACTTGCGCATCTGATGTGTAAAATATTTTTCAACCCAATAACCCAATAACCAAAAATTTTATACCTAAGTATAATTACACATCATGCTATTAGATTTGTAAATTTTTCATATTACATGTACTTCTTTCAATGACTACAATAATATTAAAAATTTGGTATAACGAAGAATTTATAAACAAAATGATTAAAAGATAGCGTAATTCTTATTTTATGCACACGTTACCTATTTAGGAAATGTATATAAATAGCAGTTTTCTCTTGAAACTCTTTGTTGAAATATCAATAAAAATTGCATTGCCTCATATTCTTGTTGCTTTGTATTTCATAGAATATAACACAATCAAAATTTTAAAACTTTAAAGTAGTAGTAATGTGTAATAACGATCTTGTTTACAAAACAAGATATTTCATTTCTTGATAAGAGAAATATGAAACTTTGCTTAACAGCTATTTTAAAACAATTAATATTTTAAGCAAGAAAATAACACAATACTACAGTTTTTGAAGTAAAGAATATGCTCTTGTTGATTATTCTGTGGTACTCCTAAAAGTAAACAATAAATTAAAAAGTCCTTTTTGAACAATTGCTTTTATAGAAAAGTTACAAACGCTTTTTATTGAGTTAAACCACTTGTTTCTCTACACATAACATACGGTTTAAATAATATTTTGAATCAATATTTTACAACTTCTGAGAAATATTATTTAGTTAACTTGCTTGCTTAAAGTTTGTCTAAATTTGCGAAATTAGCAATTTAGGGGCAACCCAGCTTAAAAAGGGAGCTGTTTTGCAACTATAAATTCGCTCGTCGTTGCGGGATGAGGAGGATTGTAATCCAACTTTGCCTAGCAGCGCGAGCACTGTACACATGAAATAAAGTCTCAGCCATATCCTAAGATCTGTTTTCATTATTCAGTAGTTAGCTTTGCTACTGTTCTCTCCTACGTGATAATCTAAGAGCTTAACTCATAAGACCCTCTCTGTTATGAGAAAAAAGCAGCCTTAGATAATCTCCCCTCATAATTATTGTATTATAGCTTAGAAATTCAACTAATTTTTTGTTGCGGCACTGTCTGATTTTTCTCAGATAATTGCAACAATGCTTGGCACAATTTCAAACGACGAATCGAAGTAGCGAACCGTGTTCAATCATCAAGACTTGATGATTAAATTCTAAAGTTGTTTTTAAAATATACTTACTCTCTATCGCAAGCCACTTAGGGTTGTTATCCTTGCAGCTTCAACTTTGAGTAGTGACTTTCCGAAGATTCAGTAGTGATTGTTAATGTTCGTGTAAGAATATTTCATTCAATACAAGTAAATCATATACCAATATTATTTTTATTATTTTGGTAATATATTATTATATGTCAACTTCTTGCCTGCTCTCGGAAAAATAATTTACAAATTTATTTTGGGTGTTTAAACTTAATTTATTATAACGTATAATAGTTTAAACGTTATAGTAAATCCTATATTTTCTATCTATTGTAAAGGTATTCAATAAATAAATCAATAATTATTTTCATTTTTTCCTGTAAAATCATTATATTATTTAACAGATATGAATCTACAATAATGGCTCAGTTCTTTGGTCATACGCATTATGATGAATTTGAGCTGTTCTACGATACTAGCGATATGAGTCGAGCTTTAAGCGTAGCATATATTGGACCTTCAGTTTCACCTTATTACAATTTGAATCCCGGATATAGGATATATTATATTGACGGCGATCATGCAAATACGACAAGGGTATGTTTGAAATATTTGTTATAAAGTATTATAAATGTGTAATTGTTTATGCCTTATAAATTCATGTTTTAATGGAACTGTCTGGTATTTGATAGTAGAAATTATAAATTTTCGTTACTATAGTCATTCTAATAAAATTAATATTATGAACATTTTTCATCTTGAAATATTCGGTAAACGCTTTCATTTTCTTCTTTATAAAACCTAATATTTTCATTAGGTGCCTGATCTGTCGCTTACGATTAAGTTACCTGATCAGTAACACTTTATTTAAAAAAAAGTGGTTTATCACGCTTTTTTGAAAGATTTTCGATTATGTTAACAAAAACGTTTGTCAAAAGAATTTCTACAAATTTCGTTCAAAATTCTTTTTGAATAAATTCAGAACAGTTTTTATCCAAATGGTAAAATTGACAATTTCAAAAAAACTTTCACTTAATCGTGAATATTTAATGGCTGAATATAATTAAAATTAAGTGAATTTCGAGCTCTTACTATTTCTCTTCTTTCCATTATTACAAATTTTATCATCTTGAATACTTATCTTAAGGAAGAAAATGAGCCCTTCAAAAATTATTTCTGTTCACTCAAATGTTTAGAAAAGTATGGTAATCCACTTTTCTTTCTGAAACGAAGGTATTATAAATAAGGAAATTTTTTAGGGTCACCATAAGAAACCTTTTAAACTTAAACAAAAAGAAAACAAAAGTATATTTTATTGAGTACTTCATAAGAAAAAATGTTCATGACTGTAATTTCATTAAAATGCTTTTTACACCTTGGTAATGAATTTGTAATTTTCTCTATTTGTTATTATCTGAGATTCTTAAAACTCTACTAATACTATTTTATTTTGAATTTCACAAATATTTTTATTCGGTTTCTTATGACATTTCGTATACGAAATCGGGTTAGATAGACGGATACCCCATATGAGATCTCGTAAGAATTTCCATCTTTTATCAAAATAATTACACACACACACACACACACACACACACACACACACACACACACATTATTATTATTATTATTATTATTATATTTTTAATATCAAAAACTTAAGTGCATTAACACTTATTTATATAATTCTAGTTTAAAGAAAACATTTTTTTTTTAAAAAAATAGAATATGAAATAAGATTATGTTGGGCTCAGCAGTACAATGCACTGCATAGAATGCATAGTTTAGCAGTACGATGCACTCTTTAAAATTTTGGTGAGTACTGAGTAGTGTAATTACAACTCAGCAATTATCGGATGTAAAAGCTCCGAAGTCAATCGTATAATTTTAATGTGTATGTCTGTAATGCCACTCGTCAAATATATTAAATACCTATAAAAATCAATAATCCCTTTTACTCATACTTTATTTCAATATGATAGCAGAGCGTGGTTTTAAAGGAAGTTTCTATGCTTAAAAAGTGACAAGGACAAGTAACAAGTTCAAGCAAACACTGAGGAAAGCTACTTGATGACTATTGAAGATAAATACTGGTATGTACAAGGGAAAAGTTCTGGATGGATTTTCGAGTATATAGTTTCAAAAGAAGAGTGTGCAAAAATACCAGAGAAAAACAAGAAGCTAAGACAGCACCGAAAGAGAGATTAATTGAAATTCTGAAAGGATATAATGAAGTTGAAGTTTGTAAAGACTTGAAACTAGATTATTTAAGGAAAGCTATCAAGCATATAATAGAAAGAGCATTAGAAAATAAAAAGAAAGAAGAAATAGAAGAATCAGAGAAAGCGGAAAAAACATTATATGTCAAAGAAAATCCTAATACAGACAGGGAGGACCATAGAGAATCACTACAAGATTTTAATTCAGAAACAATAAAAAATAAAGAATTTGAAGAAGAAGAAGAAAAGGAAGAAAATAAAAAAGAAGACAAAATGGCAAACAACGACAATATGAAAGCTCATTTTTCATTGTAAGATTATGGATCATATATATGAATCCTGTTTGTGTGTGTATGTGTGTGTGTGTGTGTGTGTGTGTGTATGAATTTTTTTCTCTCTTAGAAAATTTTAAATGCTTCTTCGAAACTAGACTTAGAAAAAAAATCAATGCTGCACACGCATACTCACACATGTTTGCACCAGTGCGAGCGCGTATAGTTTGAAACTCCATAAGTCGTAAAAATTTGAGACGCTGTGCTATAGCTCAAGTATTCCAAAATTTTCAAAACAAAACAGTCCATACTTGTGATGTTCGTATCACTTATAAATAAAAATAATTCGAACTCTCGTAATTTAGCTAATGAGTAAGAATTTGTTTCCGATGATTTTACTCTAATTTCAAGAAAATAGCTAAGTGAGACAAATACAATAATTAAGTAAATCAAATATATATAAGTAATGATAAAATATCGAGGAAAGTCAGACAATGCCCTAGTTTCTTATGGTGCGAGTTGTCCCATAAGCAGAGCTAAAGTCTTTCTTGGATAGGATATAATTCGGCCCAAGTTTCTTATAGCGCGAGATGTTCTATAAGTCGAGCTCAAATTATAAGGAAAGGTTAGTCTTGCTTAGTAAATCACAATGAGAGAAAGAACTTAGGTGTTGATCCAAGTTTATTCAAACTCATGCGCTCACTTTGCAAGGCTAGAAGTGAATGAATCTAGCCTGTGCAAAGGTGGGCCTATTTATACACAGATTTTCCCGCTTATTATTGCAGGAGAGATTTCATCGAAAATTCGAGAAACATTCCCGAATTTTGAGAAATGATTTTTCTTCATTTACAAGTAAATAACCATTAATATTAAGTTTTTTACACATGTAAATTTTACAGAACTAGTTATTTGTTGATTTTATACAATATATAATTATCGCCAATAATGTCGTCAAAAGTTATTAACTAATAAAGTTAATTAACGTGATATTACATTATTTACAATAGAAAATTATTAAAATTTCATATAACTTTATAGTTAATTAATTTTGGAAGTATTTTCCAAAATTAATTATTTAAATTAATTAATAACATTTGAATTATGACTAATTTTTCATATTTGTAACGGTTTTCTTTTAATCTTAATATGCGATTATTAGGTTAATTATCTAAGATTTCTAAATCATAAAATTGTCATTATCAAGTATTAACTTAATGTTTTCGTTCTATATATCGCTTATTGTTTAAATAAATTATTAGTTGTTTATTTATTAATAACAGTTGTTATTTAGCTGTTATTAATGAAACCAATTCTTACTCATGTTCTATGCTTATTCATTTTACATATAAATTATTTATATTTTTCTAATATTTCATATGTTAATAAATAAATTAACTTTACATATCAATATTCGTTATAAATTTATGATTGAATAAGATATTGTGAATCTGTATGTTAAAATCTATATAATTGATACTTTGTTATATTCAAATTATCTATAATTAACATATTTTTCTCAATGTTATGATTTATTATATCTATGTATATTATTTGTGACGTCACGCTATTTGTTTTGACTCGACTCTTATTTGTATACAGTCGCGTAAACAGTGAGGTAGCGCCGCTTAATGTATTGTTTTGACTAAACAGATTAATACGTTAGACTAGTTGCAGTGATTTAATAACAGCTCATAAATAGGACCGTTACATAGCCCCCCTCTTGAAACTGAATAATCTGTGAGAATAAGGTTTCAAGAATTTTTATTTTATGAGCTTTTATTAGTATTTTTTAATTTGTTCTTTATATAATTTTTCTTTATTTCTTTATTGTTACAATTATAAAAAATTTCCAGGTGTTGGTGGTCGTTCTGGCTGTTTTGATTTTATTTTGTTTTTTATTTCCTCGATTTTTTCTTTGGTTTTTGTAATTTTTGCGGCCAGCTTCTTGATCTTCTTCTGGATCCTGCGCTTTTGCTTCCTTGATGTTGTTGGTAGAACTGCAGCGGGCACAGGAGCAGAAGAACGTGGCATATTTGAAGGCAGGAAAGATATCGTGGTTTCTTTTTGCGTTTTTGCCTTTGCCATCCAAGTAGGCTTGGATGGTGTCTGTGTGCTTTTGCACAGGGACCAAGGCACCATATTCATTGATGGTACAAAAGGTCTGGCTAATGGTGCTGGGATATAGTATTTCAGATCTGACCCATTGGTCTGAGTGCTGTTACTTCTTCCAGACATCTTTCCAGATCGATAGTGTACTCTCTCTAGTGTTTACATATATTAGATCAATATGTAAATTTGCTTAGAGAGAGAATCTATCCTCTAGTGGCTAAATTTGGTACGGTTTTAATAGAGAAGTATGAAATACACCTCTATCTTTACCGTTTTTATATTTCAATAAGTATGTATCTAAACCGATTATGGATTTAATTATATACGGGCCTTCGTATAAGTTTAAGAATTTTTTAATAATTTCTTCTTCTTTATTACTTATATTTTGACTCCGTAATAATACATAATCATTAACTTTATATTGATAATGATGTATATTTTTATTGAAATTATTTGCACGTTTTATAAGTTTATTGTGCATTTTTTTCTTAATATCTTCTACCTGATTATAATTTTTTGGTACCTTTGTTTTGGTATCAGGTATCCACCGATGCCAAAATCTCTCTGGTTTTATATGTAAATGAGCTTCTATAGGAGTTGTTTCAATTGTTTCATGATATACACAATTCATTATTTGTTGTATTTTGGGAATTAGTGGAGCCCAACCTTTATGATTGTCGTTAGCATATGCTCTTAAAAATCTTCCCAGTTCTCTATGTATTCTTTCTACAATATTGCTTTGTGGATGTCGAATACTGGAAAATACTAATTTTATGTTATTGGCTAGAAGCTTTTCTTTCCATGCTTTAGCTGTAAACTGTGTTCCATGGTCACATATGATTGCTGATGGTTTACCATAATTTGGTATATAATGTTCAAATATTTTTTTAATAGTAGTATATGTAGTTGATCTTTTTATAGGATACATTACTACAAATTTACTAAAGCAATCTATTGTGGTTAAAATGTATTTAACCCCTCCTCGTGAAGTAGGCAA